ATGCAATTTGCCAACAAAGGGACCACATGAACTAAAGAAAAGTACCATGAATGCAACAATATAATGTAATTTTGTCAACAAAGGGACCATATGAGCTAAAGAAAAATCGAAAAAAGCAACATCAATCCCATATCATACCCCATATTCAACCACCCGAATACCTGGTCTTTACTACCCATGAAATGGACATAGTGCATAAAATAAAAATCGATTCACAATATGTAAAGAATCAACCGATTATGTAACCAAATCATCACAACAGATTCACAATAAGTTTGGACTGACCAAACTTTCCCGCTACCATTTCACTGGTTTTAGCTCCAGCACTCTTTTGCTCACCCAATTGTTCCATCTTTAGCGATTTGATTTTATTGAAATCGCTTTCCATCATCTGATTCAGGTGCACTAATGCAGATTTCAGTCAGCAGCAAAAAGCCCTAAATCAGTTTCACACACACTCTCTCAGAAGCTTTGACGGGTATTTTACATACGTGCAAGCTAAAAAATACCGAATTACACCCGTTCACTGCAAGTATACAGATCAACTAGTAGTTTAGGGTATATATCGGGTCGATCCCACAAGGAAGAGTGAACAATTACCGGTATTACTAAAGCTTCTCTATTATTTAGACTATCAATAAATTATAACAAATTTAACCTACTGAAATTATACACAATAACAAATAAAAGCTCCTTAGGTTGTAGTATCCCTAACTACTCATGCAAGTGCTATATTTGGATCATTGAGTACTACATTTAAGCTAGTTATGGTGTAATTTCCTTAACCATGTGAAACCTACTTTCGTAGTGAATCAATTATATTTATAACTAATCCATACCTATTCTCATGGTTATGAAATTAGCTACAAGTTCATTTTTTCAGTGAAATTACATGAAATGAATCACTAAAAACCACATAGGTGCACCTCTACTTTCGTGATTGTACTCCCTATGTTTAGCACTTCTTGAACTAATGTTAAATCTCAATTTTCATTGTAGAAATAACACCTTAGATAATCACAATTAATGGTACCAGATTAATCATGATTTAAAGAGCTAAAGTGCTAAATAACTTGCTCAAATCATAGCAGTTAAATAGCCAAATGATAAACACTAATAATCATAGAAAGTTCAACCAAACCCAAGGCATAAACTTTAGAAACACATAATAGACATAAATTCCAGAACTTGCATAATAACCATAGTTAAGAATCCAATACAAAAGATAAAGAATTGGAGTAGAGATAACCCATGTCACTTGAGCTTCAACTTCTCCTTCTTCATCTCCATCTTCATCCTAATCTAGCTATTATACAAGAATGGATTAACTACACTTACTACACTATCCTACACTAAGGAAATGAAAGAACTACATTTCTGCACTTCAAGTTCTCTCCCCGTATGATGAATGAATGAATGTCTCCCCCAAATGTCTCTGCATATAAGCTGATGAAAATCTCCTCTCTAGTCCAAAATTTCTGCTCTAATGATTCTCAATTCTCCATTTGTTAAGGAAGTCAAAAACAATGACTTTTGACTTGGAATAAGCCATATTGTATGCTCTTTTTTGTCTTCTGAAGCATGTGCACCGAATTCACTTGCAACTTATAGCTGGAAAGTAGTCTGAACACAAGAGTATTGACTGAACAAATTGCAGAATTTCGGCCAGAAAACGCGCCTACACAAAACGCGGTTACAAGTCACGTTTTGTGTACTCGCGTATTCACTTTGACCTTACTTTATCTGCAATTTTCTCTATCATAAAGGCCGAACTGGCTTTTGTGCAAAACACAAAAGTTGTAGCCCTTCGAGTTAGCTTTCCAATTCTTCAAGAATCATCTAATTTGGAGATTTGTAGCCTGAGATATGACTGAAATACTAACACCTGGTCAAATCCCTGTTTTCAACTTTGGACAGCAGTGTTGAATTATGGTATTTCGACTTTTGGACTTTGAAAACGGCTGAATTGGACTTTGATGTCTTCATACCAAATGTAGATCTATCTCTTAGCTTCAAAATGGTACCAAGATCACCTTGATCCGACCTGTTTAGCTCCAGATATAGTCAAAATACCAAAACGTGTCAGAGTTGTCAAAGCTGATATTTCTTGCATTTTTCCTTTTACACTTCATATTTTATTTTCACCACTTTAATCCATCTTCAATCATCCAAATATCTTCCCAATGCACTTCATTTGATGATTGAATCATTAAACCTACAAAATATGAAGTTTTTACCATAAAAATCAATAAAATGCAATGTTTAGCTATTTTAACATAAAATGTAGTTTTTTACCAAAACCTTAGTTATTTTAGTTGTAAAACTAAATAATCAAACCAAAATTAACTAATAAAACACACTAAAAAATACGTAAAATATATTCTTATCAAGCTTTCCTAATTTCGGCATATATTGGACGCATTTTTATTTTCTATCCAAGCCTTAAAATGATCTTGGCATGAAGTGCCCAAAAAGCCCCTGAATGGACCGCCGTCTACTTCAATCAGTGACAAGTTTGGAGCAACGCTGCGATGCATGTCCTTAATTAGCGTAAATATTTTACTTTGAGGACTAATTTCATAGTAAAAAACTTTAAGGGACCAAATTGGCGTTAGTGAAAGTGTTTAGGGACTAAACTGCGATTTTCCCAAAAAAAAATTGTCTTGAAGGTTGTGTAGAGAGATGTTGGAGAAACTTCTTTTGTTTTTTTTCATTGGTTATCTTTCTAATTGTTAGTTAATGAATAATAAACTCTAAATGAAACTACTAAATTTGCAACCGAAGACATTTTTGTGCTTGTATTTTAGTATCGTAATCGTCATCCAATCAGAGCCGCCTATGACGGCTTCATTAAATATATAAGGGAAATTTGTTCAAAACGACCCTCACATTTTGTAAAATAATTTTTTCATCCCTCACTTTTAAAAATATAATTTTACTCCTCTTACAAATTCATATTGGTCAAATTTGGTCCCTACTTAGGTTTCTGACTAGTTTTTTGTCAGAATTCACCACGTGCCTTGCACGTGATCATATTTTATAGGCAAAATTGTCAAATCAAATTTTATATAATTCTATTCGTATTCCCTCATATTTCATAAAATAAATTTTTTCGTCCCTTATATTTCACAAAATGAATTTTTTCATCCTTCACATTTTTCAAAATGAATTTTTTCATCTTTTATTGATCATGTGTGTGAATAATTTTTTTAAATCCATGTATATATTTATTTGATTTCACCTGAACAGTACGAATAGCATATGAAATCAAATAGAAATATATTACATACTATTCGTACTGGTCAAGTGAAATCAAATACATAAATACATGAGTTTAAAAAAATTGTTAGTTTTTCAGTTATATTCATTTTCTTTTACTCGAAATTTGAAAATAAAGAAGGCATTTAATCTTAAATATTGTCAAGTATTTATATCGAATTAAATTTGGATAGAAAAAGTAAACAAAAGAAAAGTATGACAAAAAGAAATAAGTGATTGGCACTTTCAAATTTTAAGAGAATCACAAGGCAAGTAATTCAACTATTGGTCTTAAAGTGTCGAGTAGAAATTTCAAATTTAAACTGAAATTTGTTAGCACAATTATAGAATTCGAGTTAGGACCCATTAATTAGATGACCTTATTACACAATTCAATAAATAAATTATTACTAAAAAAGAAAGGCCACAAATATTGAATACGTTCAAATGGTGAAATCATATAAATATATACATGGGTTTCAAACAAAATTATTAGTTTTAAACCCCTATATATATCTATTGAATTACATATGTATAACCAAGATTAGCATGTTTAGATGAAATCCAATAGAGATAAATTACATGTTACTCATAGTGTTCAAATAAAATCAAATAAACATACACGTGTGTTTATAGAAAAAAAAGTTATTCGTACACATGATCAATGAGAGATGAAAAATTCATTTTGAAAAATGTGAGGGATAGAAAAATTCATTTTTTAAAATATGAGGAACGAAATAATTCATTTTGTGAAATATGAGAAACTATGAATCAGATTATTTAAAAATTTGATTTGACAATTTTGCCCTTACAAAATGATCACATGCAAGTCACGTGGTGGATTCCGGCAAAAAACTAGTCGGAAACCTAGGTATGGACCAAATTTGATCAATATGAATTTGTAAGGGACATAAAATTACACTTTTAAAAGTGAGGGATAAAAAAAGTTATCTTATAAAATGTGAGAGACATTTTGAACGATTTTCCCAATATATAATTTGGAGGAACCAGGATTTGAGGCCAAATTACGGCAACCTTCAAGGCACTTCATTGTTTTCTCACAAATTTTGTTTATTTATTGTAAAAGATTAACTTTAAAGTGTGCTCAAATTTTCTCTCAAACTTTACCCGTGAAAATTGTTTGTCTTCATCTCGTTGACTGTCTCCCCCAGTGCATACAGATGTATTATGGGCATTTTGGTGAAAGAAGGCATAAACCGAGTTCTACACAACTAAATTTTGCCAATAGCATATGAAAATATGAAGAAGAATAATAATAAATGAAGGATCTGTCTAACAGGTGTCCATAGAGTGTGATTAAAATATATGTCAGGTGTCATGTTTTTGGAAATGTAAAATTAATTAGAAAAAATAAATAAATACAAGAGAGAGTAGATAAAATTAAATAAGAAAAGTATATAAATGCAAGAAAGGTTAATAATTGTTAATAGATATATATACATGATAGATTAGATGAACGTTAAATATGTTAGCGAGTGCCTTATTAGCACCCGTTAAAAAAAACCCATAAATGAAAGATGTGATCACCAAATCATTGACAAAGAATGTGTTGAAAATGAAACAAGAAATCCAAACATGATAAGGGATCAAAAATGGAATTTAATAATTGCAGATACTCCAAGAAGTTGAGTTGAAATCAGTTTTCCGTTCTGCTGTCAAAGAACTACAAAGGTACTCAACTTCTGCTATTTTTTATTAGTTTCGAAACTCTTACAAGTACCCTAACACCTGAGATTATCACCGGGATCAACACCCAACTGGTCACAATATTCAGTATAATACTCAACACGAGCACTAACAGCGTCCGGATTTGCACCATCGCATTCAAGCTGTCCGTTAACGGCACGAATTGTAGCCCCAAAACCCTGACCAGAAATGATAAGATCATGACAATTGTTCATCCAGAACCACAAGGCAGTTTTGAATGAAATAACATTATCTGTGGCCACAGTTTCAGGTTCATTTAGTCCATCGAACCCTATGCTTTCACCTGCTGGTCCATAGTTAAAGTTCCATGATATTTGTAATGGACCCCTGCCGTAATATCCCTTGCCTGGCACACATGGGTACTGAGTGTTGCTCTCATCACAGTAATCTTTGGAGGGGCCGTCTATCTCTTCTATGTAGCACAAATCTGCGCAATATAGAGAAGTCTATCAATTATCACTGTATTCAATTGCATACATGAAAGCCACTCATTGATACATCATGGATTTTAGATATTTTTACTATTAAAAAAAATATAATCTAAATACAAAAATAAATGAGAACATAAAAAAAATTGATTATTTAAAATCAGAATCTATAGTCAGTTATAATAATCAATCAAGAACAACCCCAAAACAATGTCATCAATAATTAAGAAGGGACCGTATGTTATAAAGAAATTGTAAAGTTATAAGTAATCACAGACTAAATAAATAACCAATACAACAAAGTAGAAAAAAAAAAGGAAAACAATAACCCCTCTGCCCAGTTATAAGAGACACACCCCTCATGATAAATTTCTTTTTTTTTTAGGTAGGTCATTTTAAGTTATTTGACAATAGTAAGTATTTCATATTAATGTCGTTATCTTTAAAGAAAGTTCTTGGACAACAGTGCACAGGACAACATCCTATGTAGAACTGTACAAAGATTTAGTAAATAGGATCTCAGACTTAGAAAAGTTACTAAAAATTTAAAAAAAAAAAAACTAAATCTCCTTGGTGGAGTTGTTCAAAGCTTACGTCCAGTCTCATGAGTCACATGAGCAATGAAGGCAGCAATCTCCCTTTTAGAATCATCAACTGAACCAACTGTTCCAAACTCAGAATACGAATTCAGAGCTTCAAGAAATGCCGATGCAGTATAGAACCCTTTTCCAGCACAGCTTGAAGCAGCTTGATCAGAAGTCCCGCTCAAGAAAGCGTCTGTCACAACATCAGCAACTGAAACACCATTATTACCGCCATCTGATGCAGCGGTGCAAGGGCCGGACTGGCAGCCTTTGCCACAATAGTCGTCGCTGGTGCCACAATAGCCCCACTGGCTGCAGCATAAATCTGGTTCACAGTCACAGTTTTGGCTTGAAATCAGCTGGGAAAAGGACCCTACAAGAACTGCAATGGAGAAAATGATGATTAGAAAATTCTTCATTTCTGTACTTGAAGAAGGAGAAAAGGATGTGGACAGAAATTGTTTGAGTAAGAAGGATATTTATAGCATAGAGAATTGGAAAAGTGATCAGCTTGTGTGAAGTATGGAGAACTGCTACTGTTGGAAATCTTGAAGTTGAGCACTGAAGGGAATGGATATAAAAAGCAATATTAGTGCTTGACTTTCAATTAATCTATTGACTTTGTCACTGTCAAATTGTAGCAACCTTCTTTCTTCGCATTCGGAATGGGAATTGTGGAAAAGAAAAAATTTGGCCAATTGATATCAACAATTGTGAGTACAAGTCACAAGTCACAAATATAATGCGTGCAAAAAAGATAACTTGATGTTGTCTGTATCATCTGATGTTAATGACGACTAACTATGTTGTAGTCCTACTTCAGTCTCGTATTTGAGTCAGAACACAGATGATATTTGTACCATTCTAGATCCACGGGCTGCCCTACTACACATACTTTTCATTTGGCTTAAAAAAAACATTTTAAAGGGTGTAAGCTTTACAATTAAAGCACGATCTTTACCTTATCATGCAAAGTATTGGACATGTAAAATTTGATCACTGTTATAGTGAAAAGAACTCAAATGATCAAATTTTATCCAGTTGATAAATATAGAATCCTAAATAAAATGCATAGTCCTTTTTTTTTCCTTTAGAGTTCTTATTGCATACTATATGAATTAATTGGTAAAATTTTGGTAGCGTATAGGAAACGATACCAATATAAAAACTAACATTTACTACTCGAGGGCTTATTATGCTGCCCAATTTTTTGGTTTCTACCATGAGCTGAAAAAAAAATCTGTTCGAAGCATAAGTTTCCCCATATTCTCATAGACTTTACAAATGAAAGTAGAACTGGCAGAAAAGTCCAAAACCCAACAACCCGCCCAATCCGCCCATTAATTTCCATTAATTTTAAAGCATGGGTTGGATCAATTGGGTTATGAGTTTTGTTGGGTTGGGTAAGAACAACCCAATTTATTCACTGGACGGGATGGATTTTTTATTTGAGTACCCAATACCTAACTTGTTTAAATGTAATTCAAAATAATAAATACAAGATTCAATACACATATGTCCAACTATTTGCATTTGGACATGTGTTAATAATTCATTGATTAATTTGTATTCAAAATTCTCATATATATATTTTCAATCAATTTTTTAAATTTTTATTTAAAAGAAAAAAGAAACTTGAAATAAAACTCATGCTTATTTTACTTTTATAACAGTAGTTAAACTTGCTTAACTTTTATAATAATTTATTATGCCTTTTAAGAGTATGTTGTTTTCCTCCCCCTTTTTTTTCTTTTTTTTTTGTGGTTGTTCTCAAGTTGCTACTTGCTTTTGTTTGTTAATATTTCGTGTACGTAAATAGAGTTTTAAATTTGTTCTAATTGCATTCTTTTTTAATATTTCATGATGGCTTTTGTTTGTTAATATTTCGTGTATGTATAATATCGTACAAATTTCTTTTTTAACCTTTTAGCATTATATAATTTCGGATTCTTCAAATTTACAAACAAAAGCTTACTTTGTATTAGCCTAATTTTTCGATAATTCAAAATAATACGATCTCGATGGTAAAAATGTCAGAATAGTTCATGAATTCACCTCTCATTTATTTCTTAAAAAGTTTGGGATTTTCTTTAATAATTTTTTGGGGACCAATACCAGTTTTACAAGCATATAATATTTTCTGCTTTATATCAGAGCTCTGGTAATTCCAAAAGATTAATATGACAATAGCATCAAGTATGATCCTAGATGATTCTAATTAATCAGGTAATGAATTATCTAACTATATCAAATCAATAAAAAAAACTTTCTAATATATATTATATGTATATAGATCATGATATTAACTTCAAATCAATATAGTTGACTTGCGGATTCTATTTTGTTTTGATTAATTATGACAACTTGGGCATGGCTAGTCCAATGATTTCATTTTGTCTGAAGCAAATACCTCCAATCTTCAACTTCATGAGAAACTTGGAATCAACAAGACAATTAATTTTCCCTCTTAATTACCGAGTCCAAAAAACCAAAATGCAGTAATGTCTCCAGTCATTTAATAAGTTTCAATCAATTAGTAGTATTAAAAAGTATAAAGTAAACAATTTTTTTAGCTAATCTATTTAAATGTACAATTTATTATCTAAAATTCACAATACAAGTAATATAAAATATTATTCTATTTATGATGTGTTTTCAAGGAACTTAAGAAGTCATGAGTGTGTGTGAAAATATATTTATGTATGTGAAAATGTGTTTGTATGTGTGAAAAAAATCTTTTTTGTATGTTAAAATGTATGTGAAAAAAGTTTATGTATTAAAATGTATGAATTAATATGTTGGGTCATATTTGGATCATGGGTTTGAGATAATCTAATATGACCCAACCCAAAATCAACTTAATCTAAAGTTGGGCAGGTTTAAATGAAAATCCAATATTAACCCGTCCAAAATCCGCCCAACCCGCCTAATTGTCAGGTCTAAATGAAAGTTATTTGTTTCTCGTCGTTCATTGTCTCACCATGCGTGTGCAGATGAGTTATTGGCCTTTTGGTGGCAGAAAGATAAAACAGAATTGAACCAAAGACCATATAATTCCCTAATTAGTCTCTTCAGCCAGTTGAATTAGATCTTATTCAAAGTCTTCAGTACTTCGGATAATAGCGCTCTATGTTCCTTAGTCTCTTATGCTTCGGTTTACTCCCAATATTAAAACATTGGTGCATTTAGACCCTTGCATATGGTAATTCATAATCTTAGTATAGTTATGATCCTCAAATATCATACCTTGAGAAACATCACGGCTAAAATTGCCAATAGCATATTGAAACATAAAAAGGGTAAATTCTGTAGTGTATTCAACTAATACAAGATAGGTATGGAAAGGTAAAGAATATGGCAAAAAAGCAGACACGTTGCAAAGCTGGCATGTACGGAGGATGAAGGGAATAATTATAAAAAAGCAAGTGTTACCTATAACAGGTGCAGGCGGTTTAGAAATGTTCATGGGCCCATCGACCGTGAGGCGTACTGCGAAAGCTGAAAATGTATTGAGGTGTCACGGAATTCACATAAGTATAATAGGCCTAGGAATAAAACACTGAAGAGGAAGCGTAAGCAGTACTAAACACAGCCATGCAGGTGGTATTTAACATAAACTGATTTTTGTGAAAGGTAAAAACATATTTCCTATAACATACCTGTTCTTTATGATATTTTGACATTACATCAACAAAATACTAGCTATTTATGGGCATTTTATTCTGAATCATTACATTTATGTAAAATACATAAATGTTTGTAACTAAAATTGAAAAAGTGTTACACTAATATTTTTATAAAAGGGAAACTAGTAGATTTTGTATTTAACAAATTTTACATATGTGAAAGTAAAAAAGATATTACCCATAACATACCAGCTCTTTATGGGTTTTTTACATTACATCAACAAAATACTAGCTATTTATCGGCATTTTACTCTGAATCATTACATTTATGTAAAATACATAAATGTTTGTAACTAAAATTGAAAAAGTGTTACACTTATATTTTTACGAAAGGAAAACTGGTAGATTTTGTATTTAACAAATTTTAAATATGTGAAAGTAAAAAAGATTGCGCCCATAACATACCAGCTCTTTATGAGTTTTTTGCATTACATCAACAAAATACTAGCTATTTAAGAGCATTTTACTCTTTATCATTACATTTATGTAAAATATGTAAATGTTTATAACTAAAATTGAATAACTGTTACACTTATATTTTTACGAAAGGGAACTTGGTAGATTTTGTATTTAACAAATTTTAAATATGTGAAAGTAAAAAAGATTGTGCCCATAACATACCAGCTGTTTATGAGTTTTTTGCATTACATCAACAAAATACTAGCTATTTTTGGGCATTTTACTCTGAATCATTACATTTATGTAAAATACATAAATGTTTGTAACTAAAATTGAAAAATTGTTACACTTATATTTTTATGAAAGGAAAACTAGTAGATTTTGTATTTAATATAAATTAAATATGTTAAAGCAACATTACAGGTGGTTTTATTAGTTACTTAATTTGTTGACAAGAAACAATGTTTCTTTTGCAAAATTTGTTCATTAGATTTTTTCAAATAATTAGGGTATAAAGGTAAATTTTCACAATCTTTTGTTAGCAATAGGCCCCAATTTCCTCCTAAGCAGTGACGAAACCAAGATTTTTTCCTTGGGGGGTGCCAAAATTATTTTCATATGTTATGTTCAAAATAATTTTATTCTATTTAAATATATGGCATCCTAAAATATCAAATATTAAGACTTGAAATCAGCTGTGGGAAGGCTCCGATAAGAACCTTAATGGAGAAAATGATGGTTGGAAAATTCTTCATTTTTGTGCTTGAAGGAAGAGAAATGGATGTGGGCAGAAGCTGTTTGAGAAAAAAGGGTATATACAGGGAGGACAACTGGAAAATGGATCAGCTTGTGTGAAGAAGGGAGAGCTGTTATTGTTGAAAAAATTTAAGTTGACTAATGAATGAAAACAGAAATCACGTTTGACTTTAATTCGTGCATTGACTTTGACAGTGTCAATAAGTGGGAATTTTTGTTCTTGGTTTCTAGAATGGTATTTGTGAAAGATTGATTTTGATCAATTGATATCAATAATTTTGGAATTGAATAATGTAGACTCACAAGTCACAACTATTGTGTGTATTTTATGACTTGAAGTTGTCTACAGCATTTAATTTAGTGCTCATTAATACATTAACTTGCCTAACTATGTTTTAGTCATACTTCACACTTGCATTAGAGTTTAAGCACTCAAAAGTATGAGACATATCAATTTGTCAGTTACAATTCATGAAATAAAATAGTGTAGAACCTGTGTTAGAATAATTTTAGGTTAAATGGTAAAGAAAAGAAACACTTTTACATAGCAATATAAGTGGTAGTCAGTTTTGGAAAAG